TCTTTTAGTAAAGAATCCAAGCTGAGGCCAAGCCAAGTGATGAACACACACTAGAACTGTGAGGATTATGAACACAAGCCGGGAGGGTGCTGTGCATCACCCTCCCAGCACAGCAGTGTGTTCATCAACAAGGACGAACCAGAAAATGTTACGTTCAGAGTTTCATTAGGTTGTCAATAACTGACTCCTAACACCTTTGTTCTACCCAGAACCATCTAGCTAGCCTAAGCTTGGCAGCACACACTTGTTATTCCAGCGTGTGGGGAGAAGCATGGAAGTCATGTGTCACATGACTGAGCTAAGTTACATACTGAGCTCATTCCATGACAGCCTGAGATAGATGCTCAAAGAAAAAGAGAAGAGTGTGGTAATGGTGTTAGTAAAGCTGCCTTAAAATATCAACTCCCTTAGTTGGCTTTTCTGGGAACAAGCCCGAGTAATCTTTATAACAAACTCAGAATCCAAGGGCCCAAGAACATTGAACACATCTGTAACCATGAAGAAAATTCTGAATTTCAAAAGCTTCAAGAATTCTCTTTGAAAGAAAAGAGTATGTGTGCATATACCTCATGAGAAAAAGAGAAAGTGCAAACATTAAGAAGGGCTGAGAGGGCTGGAGCGACGGCTCAGCAGTTAAGAGCACTGTCTGCTCTTCCAGAGGTCCTGAGTTCAATTCCCAGCAACCACATAGTGGCTCATAACCATCTGCAATGAGATCTGGTGAACTCTTCTGGCCTGTAGACAGAACACTGTATACATAAATCAATGTTTAAAAAAGGGGGAAGAGGGGAGGGCTGAGGTTGTAGCTCAGTTGGTAGAGTGCTTGCCTAGCACGAATGAGGCCTTGTATTTGATGTCCAGCACTGCATAAACCAGGAAGAGTGGAACACACCCATAGTCCAGGATTTTGTAGGTGGAGGCAGGAGATTCAGGAGTTCAAGGTCCTCCTCACCTACCTAGTAAGTTTGAGAACTAGATGAGATTTTCTCTCAAAAAAAGGAAAAACAAACAACAAAAACCAAGGCCAAGACAGAAAGCTCCATAGAGATAAAATACTTGCTATAGTGCCTGTAGCAAGCACACTGACATGGGATATCCTGCTGTACACTGTGAATATGTGTTGCTTTTATTAGTTGATGAATAAAGCTGATTTGGCCAATGGTCAGGCAGAATAGAGCCAGGTAAAAAATCCAAACAAAGTTAGATAGAAAGAAGATAGAACTGGGGAGACAACATGTAGCTATGAAGGGGTAAGATGCCAGAACATTATCAGTAAGCCACAGTCTCACTGTGATACACAGATTAGCAAATATGGGCTAATTTAATTGAGAGCGCTAGTGGGTAATATGCCTGAGCCATTAGCCAAACAATTATAAGTAATATTAAGTCTCTGATTGTTTATTTGGGAATTGATTGAAGAAGAAAAACCTTCATTTACAGAGGACCTGTGTTCAACCATCAGAACCTATGTAGAAAAGCCAGGCATGGGGGGGGGGGGGGGGTAGGCACTCACAGTTGTAGCACTGAAAAGGCAAAAATAGATGGATCTCTGAAGTTTGCTGGTCTCACAGCCTACCCTATGTGAGCTCTAGGATAGTAAGAAGCCTTGTCTTAAAAAAAAAAAAAAATCTCACTCACACTCACACACACACACACACACACACACACACACACACACACACACACAAAGCCTTGTCTCAAAAAAACAAAAACAACATCACACACACACACACACACAAATCATGGAGGTCTGAGGCTCAGCTAAGGAGGCTAAGGCAGGAATATCCACTTAAGCTTTGGAGTTTTCTTTCAGCCAGCCTGGACAACCAGAGATCTTTACAAAGATAGCCAAGACCAAGTTGGGGAGATGCTCAGCAGTTAAGAACATGTTCTGCTCTTGTACAGCTCAGTTCCTAGCACCCTCTCACATCAGGGGACTCACAAGCAACTACAACTCTACCTCCAGGGAGAGTCAATGCCTCTGGCCTCTGTGGGCATATGTAAACATGTGCATAAAAATAATAAATCTTTTTCTTTAAAGACTAGAATGTTAATTTATTTTACTAAATTCCATCCCCCCACCTCTCTTTTGGGACAAGGTCTTACTATGCAGCCTCAGATAGCCCTAGAACTTACTATGTAGACCTAACTGACCTCAAATTTATGAAACCCTATGCCTCTGCTTCCCAAAGGTTACAATTACAAGTGTGCATCACCACATCTAGCCTACAAGCCAATTTTAAAATCTGGTGTGCACTGAAGTTAACCAAACTCAGAATCATCTGAAAATCTAAACACAAGAACCCTGGAACATTGCCAAACAGATTATTTCTATTTTGTAAGCAGAAACAGTAAGCACTGAACACTTGGTTTGGAAACAGCAAGGCAAATGGTGTACTTATTAATGGTCATAATGTCAACAAACCTGAAGTCTCAATAAATTGCCCCAAAGAACCCACAAGACGAACAAAAAAGTGGAACAAGGTGTGGTGGCTCATGCCTGTAATCTAAACAGGAAGTAGGGGCAAGAGGATCTCAACAGCAAGGTCATTTTTTGGCTACACAGTAAATTCAAGGCCATCCAGGGCTTACAAGAGACCCTTTCTCAAAAACAAAACAAAATGGGGAAGGGGATTGATTAGCCCTTTTTTTTTCCCCTAAGAGTTATAGTTTCGGATATTGCATCCAGGTCTTCAGCACATTTTGAGCTATTTTTGTGTATAGTGAGATGTTTTTGCAAAGGGATTTCCAATGCTTGAATTATTTAAAAAAAAAAAAAATTAAGAGATTCTACCTATGTAGCCAAATTGACCGAAACTCACAATTCTGTAAGTGCTGGGATTACAGGTGTTTGTCATCATTGTTGGCTTCTCTCTGCACTTTCGACCAAGCCTGAGGGACCAAGCCTGAGGACCCGAATTCAGTTAGAGTCATATGGTGGGACAAGAAAACTGACTCCAAAAAATTGTTCCCTGACCTCCACAAGCCAGCCATGGCATACACGTGCACATGCATAATACATACATATATATGTGAACACATACATACATACATTAAAATTAAGTGAATGAAGGGATGGAGAGATGGCTTAGTGGTTATGAGCACTAGCTACTCTTCCACTGTATATAAAAACAACTCCTACTATCCCCAAATTTTATTTTATTTTTTTAAATTTAATTTGTTGTTCTTTTGAGACAGTCTCTACATAGCCCTGGCTGTCCTGGAACTCACTCTGTAGACCAAGCTGGCCTTGAGCTCATCAAGATCCACTTGCCTCTTCCTGTGTTGGTATTAAGGGCATGTGCCACCATGCCTGGCTTTTAACCTAAAAATTAAGATAAATTCTTTCGAAATAGAGTATCTGAAGATAATCCCGCAGACCTACACAAATGACCAACAGTATACAGGAAGATACTCAGCAAGCATTATTAGCTTTTACTAGGGAAATGCAAATCAAAACCACGATGGATATGGAGGAGTTAAAACCCTCAATACAGGGGGTGGGAATGTAAAATGGTAAACACTTAAGAAACTAGTCTGTCCCAGTATGGGGGGGGAGGGCATATCTCAGGGAGTTCAAGGACAGCATGGTCTACATAGCATGCACCCAGGGCAGCCAAGCCTACACAGTGAGACCCATTTAAGCAATAAAAAGAAAAGAAAAAAAGTAGTTTGGGGTATTTCTCACTTGAAGCCTTTCTCACTCAAAGGAGTTCTTTTTCACTTTTCCTTAATAAATCTATTTCCTATCATCTGCCTTTGAGCTTCTTAAGAAAGAAAAAGGAAAAAAGGAGCCTGGGTCTAGAGTGGTAGTACTAGTCTTCAATCTCAGCACTGGGGAGGCTGTGGCAGGAGGACTGAAAGTTCAGGCCTGAGCTCAGTTGCTAAACCTTGTCTGGAAGGAAAAAAGGAGGGAGGGTTTAGTATTTCTGTTCATATACACAAGTATACAGCCACAGGGTAAATATGCGCCAGAGTTTAGAGCAGCACATTCACTCTACTTGCAAAGTGGAAACACCTAAGTGACCATTCACCCATCATACAATGTGGCATGTTCAAACAATGGAACAGTAACCAGAAACAGAAGGCAAAGCACACCCACAACCAAAGAGAGCTAAAGAGGAAGGATCACCTAAACAACATAGGCAACACAGCAAAACTCAAAAAAGGAGCCAAGAGCTGGATTTAATAACCACCAACACCATCCAACTCCAGCACTGTATTACTCCAGAAGTTCTGTATTCATTAATTATAATACTCTGAAGGGAGAGGGGTGGCTCAGTGCTGGAAAGTAAAATAAAAATAAAAGGGGCTGATGAACTGGATCACCAGTAAGGCTACTGGCTGCTCCTGCAGAGGACCCTGTTTCAACTCCCAGCACCACATGGTAGTTCACAACCACCTGTCCATTAACTTCAGCTGGAGGGGATGGGCACATACGAGTACACATACTCTCTCTCTAAGGTAACTTCTATAAGTGAAACCCTATGTTTGTCCTTTATTTCTGGCTCACTTCAATTAGCATGTTTTACTTTATTTGTTTGGTTTTTGAGACAGGCATGTGTCACTATCCCTCCACCTTCATTTAGTCTGTTTTCAATGTTGTAACATCATCTGTACTGGTAGCCTGTATCAGAATTCCATTTCTTTTTTAAGATTAAATAACATTCCATTGTGTGTGAGTTTGTGTACATACTGTTTTATTTGTGGATACTCCATCCATTTGAATTTTCACTACTGTGAATAACACTACAATGCACAGTTAACTATGCAAGTATGTGACCACCTACTTTCAGATCTTTTGGCTACATATCCACTCTACAGTAATTCAATGTTTAACCTATTGAGGACCTACTAAAATAACATCCATACAGGCTGGACATTTTACGGTCCAATTTGGGGTTTCAACTTATTCCACAGCCTTTTTGTGTGTGTGTGTTCTATTTTCATTAATAACCATCCTAGTAAACCGGACATGGTAGGACTTGGAAGGCAGTGGCAACTGGATCTCTTTGAGTTCAGTCTACAGAGTGAGTTCCTGGACACCCAGAACAATACAGAGAAACCCTGTCTCGGAAAACAAAAAGCCAAAACAAAAAAACAAACAAACAAACAAACAAAAAAACCCCACTTTATTCCCAGAAAATGGTTATCATTGTTTTCATTTTTAAGACAAAGAAATCAACTTACACAGGTTTGACAACTTGACCAGGACCACAGAGCAAACCTGTGGATTTGGAGAATAATTTCTAATTTCTTCAGAAGCTATGTTATATGCACTAAGTCAAGGCAAACTCAGAATAGCAATGCACTGTGATGCTTATAGTTCTTACAGCAATAACCATTTCCTTGCCAACTGTTACTTGAACATTCAACTAGACCACTTAAAACTAGTTTGTATTTTCTTTGTTTTTTGGTTTCTCTTTGTAACTATAGTTATCTTGGAACTCAAGCTGAAACAAGGCTGGCCTTGAATTCATAGAGATCAGCTTGCCTCTGCCTCCCTAGTGATTAAAGGCATATGCCACCAATGCCCTGCCTGAGTGTATTTTCTGCACCCACATCAGACAGCTCACAACTGCCTGTAATTCCAGCTCCAGGGGATCTGATGTATTCTGACCTCTGGGAGCGCGGGGCTATAGCAAATACACAAATGTGGCATACACACTAACACATAATCAAAAACAAGCATGCAGGAACTGGGCATTGGGATGCACATTTTTAATCCCAGCACCACTCAGAAGACAGAGGCAGGCAGATTTCATGAGGTCAAGGCCAACTTGGTCTACAGTTAATTGTTGCAGGCCATCCAAGGCTGCAGCATAGTGAGTCCTTGTCTCCAAAAAAAAAAAAAAAAAAAGGTAATTAAAATAAAAAAATTTAAAAAGCAGGCTAACTCTATTAAGTTAATAAAGCACAAGTGGAAGCAAATGAAATTGCTCCTTGGCAACCTTAAATCAAACGAACAGAATGCTACTTGTATACTTTCCTGCAACCAACACATTAAACAAGGTATTGATTATGCTCACCAATTTTATTCAACTGTGTTAATCCATACAGAAGTCTTAAATTTTAAATCTCTAAGTTCTTAATCGATTACATTTTAAGAAAAGGAAATGCGTAATTAACCGATCAGGGATGGAATAACCTAACAGAAATTTCCTTTAAATACTTAAGCAAAGGGAGAGTGGGGACAGGTGAAAAAGTTGACAACTGTTGAATATAACAGCATTGATGAGGGAGGTTCAACTGTTGAACATGAGTGACAGCATTGAGGGAGGGGTTCAGCTCTTCTGCCTTCTTATATTTTTGGTTGTGAGCCTAGCCTTTAACGGCTGAGCCATCTCTCTAGCCCTGCCTTCTCGTGTGTTCGCTTGAGATGTTTTCATTGAGGCAGAAGCAAGAAGATGTCACAAGTTCGAGGGCAGCTTGAGCTATCTGCTGAGTTCCTGTTTAATCAAGGCTACTGACCTAGTCTTAAAAAATATAGTTTACAGCAATAACTTTTTCAAAACCTAAATCTTTGCAAATAAAGTTATCGTCCTGCTTATTCAGGACGAGTTGCCGAGTGCGGATGCTCCAGCCTTCGGAAAGGAAGCAGGCTATGGGGTCTAAAGCAAAGGCAAAGCAGCTTCTGGCGGGACCGACTTAAGCTCCGCGCCACCACGCGGACCAAAGAACGCGCACGCTTCATTCAAGGCTGAATCTGACAAATCACTCTCTGTGAACGCTCCGGCTCAGAGAACCGCGGAGCTCAATTTGGAATCGGCACACGCCGGGAAACCCAAGCAGCCCGGTTAGAGAGCCCTCGGGTCTCGGTCCAGGGCAAGGTCGGGCGCCGGGCCCTCAGCTCCGCTGGTCGGCCCTCGGGTCCCTCCCTGGACCCTCCGCTTGGTGCCCACCTCGCACCTCGGCCTCGCCCCGCCCGCCTACCTTCCAGATCCACATCGTCCGAGTCCGAGTCACTTTCCCCGTCCTCCTCGACGATGGCGACCGCGCTGGAGTCCTGCGCGTGAAAGGTCGTCGGGGTGGCGATGAGCGTGTCTGAATCCTGGGCGCGGGCCTCGCGCAGGCGTGTGAAGTACTCTATCGCGAAGTCGATGAGGTCGGGCGGCTGCTGCCGCAGCACCTCCACAGTGTAGCCCTGCAGCAGCTCCGTGAGCCCCGGCGGGATCTGGATGTGGCTCATACCGGCGACGGCCGAGGGGACCGGCGGGTAGGGGCGGCCGGCGGCTGCAACCTGCGCACTCCCTCACGCCGGCCTGTCACTCGGCGCCCGCGGTCTCCCGCGCGGCCCGCCTCGGCCTTCCTCGCGTCGCGCCTTGTTTCGGCCGGGTCTGCGTTTGTTGTGCGGGCCGCGCGACCCTTCCGCTACCAAGCCAGCCTGGCGCCGCTGCTGCTGTCACCCCGGCCGCCGCCGCCGCCGCCGCCGCCGCCGCCGCGGGGACCGACGGGCTGGCGAGCTGGACGGGCGCGGCAGGCGCCCGGGTTGTGACGCACGCGGCCTCGGGCGTGCGCGTCCCCGCCGAGAGATGGCCCACAGTGCGCGTGCGCCGCTGAGTCGTCCGCTCTTGGAGCAGTCCATGGTCAAGGTGCGGGAGGCCCCGGAGATGCGGAAAGAGTGACCCAGCTGCGAGGCAGGCTGGTTAGTGCGTCTCGCCTGGTCACAAAGACCTTTCACTTATGCTTTCAGAACATGCTGAGAGCCTCTTAACAGTGCCGGGGACTCTGATGTGACACAGGACCACCTCTCCTTGATTCCTGCTCTAGTGGGGGAGCAGAGGGTTCAATCCAAGGAATGACATTAATGCTAACCCCCAAAATTGAATGGGACTTGCCCAGAGGAGGAACTGGAAGAAAGTCGTCTACTAACGCAGTACTGCAAGAACAAAGACCTGGTCCACCCAGGACCACCTTGACTGACAGGTGGAGCAGTGCAACCGAATACAATGTCCTAAGCAGTCTAGTATGAGGTCGTGAGATGTCAAAAGGGAGAGGCTTTGTAGGAAGTAAAAGCTGCAGTGAGATAAGTCCTTTGGAAGCCTCAGGCAGAGAAATAACCCTGAAAGAGCTTGCTCAGCCAAATGTGAGCAATAAGAAAATGGACAGAACTTTGGCCTTGTTCCTCCTTTTGGACATTTCCACCCTGTTCTTCACCTCTTTCCTCCCCACTCTCAAGTCTGGGCCCTGGGCCACATGATTTGATGAAGTAGAGCAGACCTCAGGCCCTGTCGCCTTTTGCCTCTGGGAAGAGGGCAGAGGGCAATTGGAAAGGCCAGGCTATTACCCAACTTGCTTCCTCCTGTCACTAAACTTGAATAGAACAAAAGAAGATATCCTTCCTGGGATATCCAGCCACAACCTCAGTGCTGGTCAAAGACCCAGTAAGAGTAAAGTCCTCCCTGTCCCTGCCAGAACCAGGCAGCAACTGATTAGCTGTAGATGTGAGAGCCTGAAGGGTATTGGAGATGGTTAAGCACCACCTGGTAATTACCCAGGATTAATTAAGATCTTCTCTAGCACCGCCCATAGAGACTTGGCACAAATCCAAGACCTCAGTGTGACTGTGAATTGAGTGACAGTGTGGAACTCAATGCAGAGGCCCTAGGCTAGGTAGACCTGTCATTACAAACCGCTGTGCATCCCTGAATATGGTCCTTAACCCCACAGAGTAGTCTTGGATGTTAAACGGCGGGAAGCAGGGTCCAGTATGTTGGCTAGGTACTTACTGCAAAGTTGTGAAGATTGAATGAATGATACATTCAGGACAACAAAAGCAGAAACTGCTCTCCTGACTTCACAGTCTCATTACAGGTATCCTTTCCTTCAAAGCCATGCTTCTAATCCCAGAACATGAAGGATGCATTAGACAGGCAGTCTGGAGTCAGACATGGTGGTAGGTAAATGCTTGTAATCCCAGCACTTGGGAGATGGAGGTAGCAGGATCACAATTCAGTGCCAGCCTCTGTTACATGATGAGTCCAAGCTGGCCTAGGTTACACGAGACCATCTCAAAAACAAACAAAGACAAACAGTGGAGATTGGTCTCTTCTGCTCTTGGACTGACTTGTAAATTTTCCAAAATTCGGACATTGCCATTAATACCCAGAGCACCTAGTTGTGCCCCCACTTCACCGTAATGTCCAGGGGACTGCCTCTCCAAACAATCCTACAGCCAACCTTTTGAAAACGTAAATTCACAACTCCAAGTCCTAGTGTTCTTACATTATCAGGTCTTACATGTTTTAAATGGGGCACTGGCAAATGAAGAGTTAGGACTCTGACCCCAATTACAAAATAGAGGAGAGGAAGGCTGTTGACAGAGCTGGGTGTGGACAGGGTCTCCTAGTGTGCAGAAACCCTCTTGGCTCTGGCCTTCCTGACTTGTTCACAGATGCAGCATTGTTCAACCATCTATCTGTCCAGCAAACAGCATCCAAAGGACACCCTAACCTGGTGAAGTGGTACATAATTTGCAGCCCCCATTGTTCCGGAGAATGAAGCAAGAGAATCACTTGTGTGCACAGGAGTTTGAGGCCAGCGTAGGCCACACTGAGGGATCTTTGTCTTAAAGAGAGAAAGAGAGAGAGAGAAGAGAGAGGGAAAAAAGGAGAGAGGAAGGAAGGAAGAAAGAAATGAAGGGAAGAAGAAAGGAATGAAGGAAAGGAAGAAAGAAAAGGTAGGAAAAGAAGAGAAAAAAAAGAAAAGAAAAGAAAGAGCAGGCAGTCTGGGGCAAGAGAGACAGCTCAGAGGTTTAAGAGCCCTTGTTGCTCTTGTACAGGATCTGGTTGAGTTTCCAGCACCCATATAGTGGCTCACAACTATTCACAACTCCAGATCCAGGGGATCCAGAGGTCACAGACCTCTGCAGACACACATGGTACACATAATGCACGGAGGCAAAATACTCCTACACAAAAATAATCTAAAACCAGTTGTTTTAAGGAGGGGTCTAGGATGTAACTCGGTGAGAGGTTGCACTCAATACCCAAAACCCTTGAAGGGCTGGAGT